GTACAAGACCGCGAAATACCCGAAACGTCAGTAAATCATCTTTACTCTGACGCAGAAACTTTCCGGGACAGGACAAAGTAGAAGTGAACTCTGAAGTGGTTTCGCTTCAGGGAAACCTGGAGCGACGCATGTTCCAGGACGTTTCACAAGAACTAATTATAAGTCGCTTGTGTTCGCCAATAAAATATATTGAAAGTATAAAGTAAGGTAAAAAAAGCCCGCTACTCATCTTTAGTTAAAACTTTGCTGTAAAAGCTAAAAATATGAGAATAGTTGGTAAGTTTTCCAATAACTTAACTTTCCTTGTCCAAAAACTTCTACATTTAAAAAAATCTTCTTTTTTTATTTTTTAATGTTTTAAGGTGACAAGTATGCATGCGGCTAGTTCAATTCGCCGAAATAGCGGCCTTTGCTCATAAACATTTACAATTGCTCATCATCATCACCAGCTCACTAAGTCCCCATCGAAGGGCTCCGAGCCTACCCTAAGTTAGGGTGATTAGGCCATAGTCAACCACGCTGCACTGTGGGTTGACTTTACACATATCTTTGAATTTCTTCGCCGATATGTGCATCACGATGTTTTCCTTCACCGTAAGAACGTCGGGTAAATTATGTACATATGAAATTCAAAAAATTGAAAATTGGTACTGCGGGATTCGAACCCAAGACTTGTAGATTAGTCAAGTGCTTAAACCTCTGAACCACCGACGCTCTAAACCCGTTTAGCAAGGTCTTGACTTTATAGTCGTTCTATTTATCAAATTCATAGTATTTACTATAAAAGTTATATCGTTAATGTTTTTATATCGTATTTTAAACATTTATTTATAACAAATGATATATTTTGCATGAAATAAACGACATAGATCATTGAACTCATGTATCATTAAAATATATTCCTACAAGAAAGTATAACAGCAGGAAAAAACGTTTTACATAGAAATTGATATAAAAAAATCATTCATGTGAAAAAAAATCTCAACGTGGCGACAGACTGAACGACTTACAGCCGGTGAACTTCAAAGAAATACAGCGAATCTAGTTAATGGAACAAATTTTTTATTACTTGCGAAAATAAATATCCGTAACCATTTATAATATGATGAGGTACCTATTTCACCCGAAACTGATATACGATCTCTGACCTTTTATCTTATCCTACGTAATTTTAATAAACTGTAAAACGAGCGCAAACCTTTGAACAAACTGTCGCAAAACAGTTGTGCGATTGTCGATTGTTTAGCATCCAATTCTTTTTTTTTATAATATAAGGTGGCAAACGAGCAAGCGGCCACCTGAATCCACCGAAATGGAAAGCGACCGCTGCCCATAAACATCCGCAATTGCAGATGCGTTGCCTAATTAATTGACAGAGGAGACGCAGATAAAGAGGGCATTTCCCTTTCCTATGCGTCTCCTCTACTGTCAAACCCACTTTTCCTAACCATCCTTTCCCCTTTAGGAAAGGGACCAAAATTAGGCCTCTGGTACCACACTCATCAGACTAAACGCGGAATTGCTTCCACTTCACGCCTGTTTTCTGTGTGGTCCTGGTATTATACCGTGCGAGCCGGCCCATTCGTGCGAAGATGTTAAAGCGGGCTCAACCACTGTAAAACCATTTAGTTGCACAACTAAAAATCGAGTAGCGCACCTCCATATAAGCTCATAGGAATCAAAGCGAGACTAGTTGTGCGATAGTTTAGTCTCAGGTGAACGCTCTTAACCAATCTAAAGATCGCTATAGTAACTGGTAAAGTTGTTCTACTGTTTTTATTGTTCTCCATTTCATATGACGACAAATTATTTAAAACTTCCCTTGTAAGGTTATGAACTATATCTCTGTCTAGGAATTAGACATACCAATACGTAATCAATTAAACAGGAAATTACGTCAGAAAACATTAACGTTGAATGTGGAATTAAAACCTGATTAGTGTATTTTAATGTGTAGAGAAACATAAATAAATGCGTGTTACGAACTTTCAGACGACTCATGTTTCTATATATTTACATTAAGGAAAATTTAATTATTTCACAGAAACTCTGTAAAGGTTTTCAGGTGAAGACTAAAAAAATATAAATAATTCTGAAACACAGTTATCTATTTCTTGGTAATCTATACTATTATAATAAAGCGTAAACGCACACTTCTTTGTTGCCTAAGATCTCAGGAATTACAGCATACTTTTGAATTATTCATTTTTTAATAAAAAACCCTACACTTACGTCACGCTTTAGGCTATATATTTTCAAGCCGTTAAACTTAGGGGTGAATATTTTGGATAAAAACCCTAATGTGGGAAAGAGACCATAAGTTGCTGCCAACATCAAGAAAGCAAGATTGCCAAGGTTGTCATGTCATGTAATGTTGACATTTGCAATTGATAATTTGACAAATGTAAACAATAAAATTAAGTTTGAATAGTTATACGGATGACGTCGCACGGGAACAGCTAGTAGTACAAATACAAAAAAAATAAAACTCGCTGCTACCTATTTTTAGACAACTTATTTAATTTATACTGTCGCTTTAAACTCAGAGCAACACTTCTCGTCAAGACTGAAGTTGCGCGCCAATCTATCCATACTTGTAGTGACATTGACAGCTGTCAGCTAAGGACGTGCCGTTTATGCCGATAATCTAGAGTTGCGCCAATTCTATAGCACGGTACTAATTTTGTTCCTAACACTATTTATTGCATGGAACAAGACAACATTGCGTATTTCCGTTACTGTACTTTTCTTTATTACTCAAATACGTCTGATTGTTTTTGCAGTTAAATTGTTTTAAGTTTAATTCCTTGAAAATTCCATAATTTATATTTATATCACTTCCTTAATGTATGATAAATGAATTATCAAATTAAAAATGATATTTTAATGCGAAAAGAAGTCAAATAAACGAGTTAATTGAGTTATGATGTTGAATCGTATAAATTCAAAGATTGTCATAAACACACTTGTAACCGCAATTGTTAATTTTATTGCTGAATCTGCTTATTTAAGTAACACAGTACATTGACCAGATACAAAGAGATTTACGTATGAAGAAAATGTTATTTAGTATTGCAAATATTTTCAATAGCTTTCGCTCGCGACTCCGTCTGCGTGGTATTAAAATAATAGTCTGTTTGCTCTTCCAGACTATCTTCATATCCTTACCAAATTTCATCGATATCCGTTCAGCGGTTTAGGCTAAAAACTCTTACAAACATCCATCCATCTAAATTATAAACCTTCGCACTTATAATATTAGCAAGAAGTATATCCACTGTCTTCATTTCTAAGCTTTTAAACATTCAATTTGCGCGATTATTTAGATAGATTCAAAAATGTAAGGCTACATTTTTACTTGTGTCTGTATTAAAATACACAGATATGCAGGAAAACAAATTTGTTTTCATATCTACGAACGTTTACAATACTGTTAGAAACGCTACGATTACTTGTCAAAGATTCAAGATTTGTTCTGAGAATTCTCCACAGTATTCACTCTTTCCACTCTTTTCTTAAGAGGAAAGGATGGAAAGGAAAAGTGGATTTCACGGTAGAGGAGATGCATATGAAGGGGAAATGTTCTCTTATGTGCGTCTTCTCCTCCGTCAATGAAGAGTAGGCAACGCATCTGCAATTGCGGATGTTTATGGGCAGCGGTCGCTTTCCACTTCGGTGGATACAGGTGGCCGCTTGCTTGTTTGCCACCTTATATTATAAAAAAAAAAATAAGTATTCAATACGTTGCCTTGTCCACCTCAAAACAAATGTAAAAATGGTATTGTGCCTTTCAATCAGTCTTTTTCAAGTGTTAAATCCTTTTCTAATACGAATATACCGTTACGCATCTATGAAGTCCTGGTATTTCGCTGAAAAACATTCGTGCACCACATGTTTTTAACTACCACTGTTCTTTCATTTGCTAAATGTAGTTATTCTGATCAGATCAATACAAAGAAATTCAATTATTACTCAATTAAATTCCAGGAAGGAACATTTGCGGGAACACTGATATTCGATTCGATAATAGTGATGTACTATTATCAAAAGAATTATCGATGTCTGTTAGAAGTACTGAGATGGAAAAAATAAAATAAGTAATTGCTTAAACTTTGGTAAACGGGTCTTTTAATCCATTTTCTTAGTATCCCACATAATGTGTGTAAATTTCATTATTCTTGCCTAAACGACAAAACCGATTTTGACGAGTAAGAAATCACTAGACCCACATTCTTTCCCAATTGTTACTCCACGTAACGCAGATGATATACATTTACTTTGACTATAAAAAGTGTTATTAGATCAACAAAACATTTTTTATCGATAACTTAATCACAGCCATCACTAAATTACAAAAAAGGGTTGGGGTCCCTTGTGCTTTCCTCGGAACAAGTTTGGCAGGAAGCCAAATGCATCTCATGTCAGTTTCTTTATTGCACGTACTTTGTGATCTGTTTCCGAGTTTCCACTACCGCAAAACGTACAAAATGTTCCCATCCTTTTCAATCTCTATGAAAAGAACAGAGATGACAAGGTTTTGTTTCACAGGTGGACAGTTTCTTTGCAAATTTATATTCTTTTGTTCTTCAAATTGACATTGTTTTCATTAGCGGCTCACTCCGCTAATCAACGACGTCTTTATGATATCCATTATATAGAGGATTTTGTGGTTCATTTGCATTTATTTGTTTTAAGACATTTTATGGTAATAAACAAACTAAAAAATGCGTCACTATTCTATTTCATATTTTATATCTATAGTACCGTACCAGAAAAGAAAAAGCTACTCCATGAATTTTTTACTTTCTGGTACTTCTTTTTGCCTTTGTGACATAGCCAATTGCTCTATAGTCTTTACTGAAAAAAAAAAAAAAAAATTGCCATAGACAACAGACTCAATACAAAAAAAAACAAATGTCTTGAAGTTATTCATAGAGTTATTTTATTACTTTTGTGCATTATCTTATTTTACTTGACGTAAATCGTGTAAATAAAGAGCATTTTGTTTATAATTCGTGTATTCAGTAGAGTCTTTCTTCCTTGAATGGGACAATATCGAGCTCTGGTTGTCGTTGGCCCTCGGGCGGTAAGCCCCAACGCGGCCGGCAGCCATTATGAGCTTCGTAGCGCGGTATGCGATCGTCTCTTACTAACTCGTACGCCAAACGAGCTATGCCCTCCTGGTAGTCGCTGCGACCAGTGTTGTAGTTTGTGGGACGAACGTAACCCAAAACTGTTAAAATTAAACATTTTAGGTGGAAATAAACTAGTTTTTTATTATTAAATTACGTTTATTATATTATGTCATACAATTTACAATTGAGGAATCAGTAGCTACTCTTAGAATAAAAACAAATTAATTCTAAAAAAACTCTAATTATGAACCTGTCAAATTACATTACCTATTTACTTATACATACGTGAAACACTCAAGACTAAAAAACTATACATTAAAATATCTACAAGTCTACATAACAGTAATTTCGTTATAAACATATGAAGTCTACTAGATGGCAGCACTACAGTTTTAAAACACGCTATAGTTTCACAAGTAAATGTCTAACTTCTGTAATGCGTGGGCAGAGGGCGCAGCGTGGGTCGAGGAGGTGCTTCGTACATCTCCCGAGCCACCTTCATCAGCTCAGTATCCTTCATGGCCAGCTTCTCGCCCTGTGGCCGTAAGTCCTCTTGCACCACCTCAATTTTCTCCCCGCATGGACGCAACTTCTTCACCCGTGGTTTGAAGGGACGCGTCTTGAATTCTATAATTTATTTTTTTGCGTTAATCAAACTGAACATATTTAAAAAAAAACTGATGAGATTATTATGAATCAAAAAATTAAAATTATCAGTAGAAAAGCAGTAATTAGCAATACAAAAAGACATTAATGTACGAAATTCAATTTTGTGGATATTTTCGAAAAATGAGGCAACATAAGACTATTCATGAAATATATATTTTTCCATCCTAACAATGAGTCCTCATGCCCGGTTCTCACTTAAACAGTTGCGACGACCGGTCATAGATTATATGAAGTTAGAGACGCCAGTTAGCGTTCATACTGTGCCAGTTGATTGACAGTCCAGTTATTGACCATAATTAACCTAGTGCTGGCGTAGTGTGAACCCACAGATAATACAAAACAAAAATCTACCTGGAGAGAGATGTGCACAGAAGTCATTGTAGTATGTAGACTGTCCACGAAGTCTACGCATCGTGTCCTTTATGAACTTTTCAATTTCATCCTCTGTCCAAGTTTTCTGTAATAATGGAATTAAATTGGAATTCATACAAATAAAATACGGAAATTAATGATAATTATTTAATACTAACATCTTCTGTGCCTTTTTTCGGGTCTAGCCATTTGCCCTCGAGTGTAGCCCAGCGATTCTCTGGGCGGCACCTGTCGAACGAAATGTGCTTAATAAAAACTGCAGTAAAAAAACTATCGGAAAGGTACAAAGCTAATAGTCAAAAGATTTTTTGTGCCTGCAGGAAATGTCTAAAAATACAAGGTCTTGTGGATTACTCGCGAATACGTCCTCGATGCGTTCCTCAAAGTGCAAGTGGGTTTCCGGGATTCAGTAAAATGGATATAAGGAAAAATGTATTAAAAGGTCTACTTACATTTTAGTTTTCTTGATAGGATGCTGGCGGAATTCATCAAAATATTCAGTTAGAAACGACATTTTCACAATTTTAAATCCAAAACAATAAAACAATTAATAAAAATATACAAATTATTAAAATTTCACATATCAAAAAACCATAATTTACATGACATGACAAATTACGTCACGGTTTTACTATTAAAAAAAAACCATTATGTTTGAAAAACGTTTAGAATCCGTCTTCGAAATATGTTTATAATCGAATCCACCATTACAACTGGCTTTCTTTCTAATTTACCTGAGAAGTTTTCTTTCATAAAGTTACGAGTTATTGCGGCATTGCATGTTAAGTTAAGCAGGGGTAATAAACATTTTTAACAAGTTTGAAAAATAATCTAATCATAATGAACTCACAAAACTGGGGTCTTATAAACGTTACTTGAATTTAAGACTAGTAATACAATTCTTTTTTTTTTACCAATTAGTCTAAAACCATCTTTTGTTTGAATTAGGACTTTCTCATTAATGGCCACGTAAATTCTAGCTTTCAAACAATATAGTTCAATCAAAACCGGATCTTCAGTGTAACACTTCAGTAAACTAGTAAAACTATCGAAGTATGTTAAATATTAACGCGTCGACTGCGTAACAGGCCATTATCAGCCTGACGCAGTAATTAGGCTGGTGCGTATGAAGAAAACAATGTCCCTCTCGCTAGCGCGAAACGATTGTCTCAGGTATATACATTACATTACATAAATTGTATACATTATGTTTCCACAAAGTTATAGCAATTTAATCTATCCTAGTGTCTGGGGGGTCTCGAAAGACCTGCCACGCACTGGCGGAAGTATGGCCCGCCGCCGCACCAGATGAAGAATCATGATTTTACTTGTCGCAGTAAACATAGTAATAATATAAATACCTCATGTTTCGTACCCCTGGCGTATAACCCTCGTTATGACAATACGACCTTACCGATGTTATATTACCTATAGTAGATACATTTTTATTGGCGCGTCGTGACCCGTTGCTGGGGATCGTACAATATTTTTAGACAGACCACTAATTTGTCGTAAACCCGCATCGATCCCGTCTGCAAACGCCATTATCTTTTATCTGGAACAGCGTTGAAGGTTACATTGTGATTTACCTAGAGCTGTGTAAAAAAATTTTTGATTTATACGAGTATTCGCTCGCGACTTTCCGTAAAACATTCTATTGCGAATTTCAAAATTTTAATACTCGAATGATAATGAAGGCCCTTGCCCTTGTTTCTTTGCTGTTAGTGGCTTGTCGATTTACCCTTTTGTCGCTTGGATTTTTTTTCCAAATTATTTAATCGTTAAAAAAATTAACTTAGTATCGCTTTGTTTTACTAAAATTATTAATACTTAAGTTAGATTGACGTATGTTAGAGTTTGTAGCCTAGACCGCTGAAAATGTAAAAGATAATCTAGAATCTAGATCTAGGCCAGTCTGTATATTCTGCTTTATTTATTTGTATATAGAAAACATATTTCGTTGTACCGTTTCAATAAATAAATAGGCTACTTTAGTTTTATTGAAAATTCGGAGTAAGTCACGGGCGAAAGCTAGTTTAGTAAATATTCACAGTTTAGTATTTCTGAATTTGTTAAAACTTGGTATTTGGGGAGTAAATAAAACAAAATCACTTAAAATACTTTTATTTCAGTACTTTCAAATATATTAACAATGATAAAGGTGTCGATTTATTAACAGTATAACTGTTACATTGGATTTTAAAAAAATAAACGAGACAATACAATCATTTGATAGAAACTGATTAATGATTCGAGGAAAGAAAAACATAAACTTTGTATCATTAATTTAAATAAACTGACATTACAACCATAATGTGCACTTACATTAACTATTGTTTAAACTAACCGATAACTTAACTATGAAATATAAGCCATTTATAATTAGTTACTAAAAACCTGTCAAACCAATTCTGGGTCTGTCAAAACTTACAAATAAGATATTAACATTGACCTCTATTTTATTAGATAGGCTAAAAGCTGTGGTTGAGTGCCTATTTGGCGCAATCTTATCGTATTGTTATAATTCCGAACTATAGTTAAACAAATTTATCTGGCCCGGTGAGGCGCTATCAGGTAAATCTATTAGAAAATATTTAAAACCACATGAACGTAGAAAATGAAAATAATCACTAGTCTCTACAAATACAGCATTTTGTGTATGATTTTCACCTTTTTGCGTTGTTTAGTAGTTTTCGAAATAATATTGTTTCGAAAATTCTTAACTATAACCTCTAAAGTTGCATTTAAGTCTGAATGAAGCAAAAGTTATATTATAAAGAGGAAGCATTTGTATTTTTGTATATATTTCAATAACTCAAAAACTACTAAACCGATTTTAAAAATTCTCGAACTATCAAAAATCTATTATCTGTGAGAAACATATGCTACATTTTTACCTATTTTTTTTTTAAATTCTACACAGGCGAAATCGCGGGCAACAGCTAGTCTACTTACATGTCTACAACACAAAGATCTAATGACACTTTTTGACATAGACAGGCGTTGACAATAATAATGTCATAATTCAATTTGACTAATAACCACCGGGTCAAATAACTTGTCAAACTATAATACAATTAAGTAGCAGTAACTTTAAAATTTCAGCTGCAACTGTTAAATAAGAGGTCAATGAATTTAACATAGACACACTCTTACATAATTTTAGGTCCCTTTTTTCTATCAAACTGTTAGCAACTTCGCATTCTTTGGTGTTGCAAACCTTCCGTAAGAGAATTTCTATGTTTATGTTACGGTAAAAATGATTAACTTGGAAATACATTAGTATGACATTTGTTTTATGCGACATTTCAAGATTTTATTTCAAACTGGTCATTATACAATTTCCCTTATTTCTCACATTTACCGTAACATTAATACAAAACTTAACGCAACATGGCTTATCAATAATCTTATTTTAATATTAAAATGTACTGAGTTATTCAATAACTATTGGTCTTAATATAAAGGACATTTCTGCTGTTAAGAAGTTACTAAACCCTGCTACCTTCAGTTTTAACTGAACAGTAGAACTGTACAGTAATTTCACCTACGTCAATTTAACTGTACAGTTAAACTATTCAGTTAACTCTGCAGTTAAAACTGAAGGTTCGTTGGGCTTGATTTACTAAGACAAACCGCAACTTACCACGTTTCTGCACCACACCTTTTTTAATTAAAAACTTACGTTAAATGTATTATATATTAAATCTTTTAAATCGATGTCTCTTTGTAAATAATATTTTAAAAATGTAAATGCGAGAAGAAATTTCAAAAAATATGATGAATAACGCAAATATTACGACAAAAAATCCTTTGTAACTTTTAAATGTACACAGAAATTAGTATTTACTAAGTTTAAGAAAACATAAAAATAGACAAAAACCGCAATATTATTACGATAGTCTAGGTATATATAAAATATTGTTTAAACAAAGAAAACATCTTCAATTCAAAATAGGAGAAAACAATTTAATTTGCACTGACATATGACGTATTCAAACTGTAATGCGACAGATTTATCTGGCCCGGTGAGAGAAATACAGCCAACACAATTAGTTCTGGCAGAAAAAATCAAATTTACATAGAAAAAGCAAAAATAAAGCTATAAAACAAGGATCTTGAAATTTACAGGAGGGTGCTAGTGAGCTATTTATTGGCGTACCGGGTCGGATAAATTAGTCGGACTATATTGAAAGTTTACCTTAGCAAAAACTTATTTATACATCGCATTTAATATATTAATAAGTCACTAACGGTAATACTAGAAATTTTATATTTATTTCTAAAAATCAGAGGTGATTTAAAATATCTACTTTTAGCACATTTTACGATTTAAAAATTTCAATACATAGTTACAATTTAAGTGATAATCCAAAAATCTTAATTTATCTTTAGTAATACCTACATGGGGGGTTACATTACAACATAGGAGTTACATTTATAAAATTCAATTTACAACAATAAAGTTCAATTAGAAATTAATCATTGAAGAATTCCAAACAATATAAACCTCCTCCCCTCCATTTTGGATAAATCGTCACAATTAGAACATAGTCGCGATCACTGTATACCTTATTTCTGACGCTCACTATCATCTGACGCGGTGTTGGTGAGCGGAGGTGTTGGTGAGACATGGTCTGACGCAGTATCGGTGAGACATGGTTCGACGCTCGCTATTACAGTCTGACGAAGTGTTGGTGAGACAGGGTCTGACGCGGTGTTGGTCATACATGGTTCGACGGTCGTCGTTACGGTCTGACGCGATATTGGTGAGACATGTTCTGACGCGGTTTTGGTAAGACATGGTTCGACACTCGTTGTTATGGTCTGACGCGATGTTGGTGAGACATGTTCTGATGTAGTGCTGGTGAGACTTCTGACGCTGTGTTGGTGAGCCGTGGTGTTGGTGAGACGTCTGACGCGGTGGTGGCGAGGCGTGTGAGAGGCGGTGTGCGTGGTGCATCAGAAGCGCGCGCGGATGTAGACAGCGGCGACGTCGTGGTTGGCGTAGCCGAGGCGCTTGGCGTGCTTGAAGATCTCGTTGGTGGTGGCGGTGAGCGGCAGCGACTGCTCCAGCGCGTCGCCCAGCCCCAGCGCCAGCTTCAGGTCCTTCTGCATGTGCGTCAGCGGCTGATGCGTAGAGTACGATGATTCTATCATCGCTGGAAACGATACATTTACTTATATTACTATCACATTTTAAACACATTAATAATAATAAATCTTTGCAAAATATTATAAGAATAAGTGAATGGTTTGACAGAACACTGTCAACATTGCATTAATAATATAATAATGAATTTATCCAGTAGGTTAAAATTTTACGCAATGGTTTTATATTGTGGGAACGTGTCCAATGTTGTGTTGAACGTGTCAGTATGACGGTGAGCGTGTCAGTGTTACTGTAAACATGTCAGGTGTTGCGTTAAGCCTGTCAGTGTAGTAGGGAGCATGTCAGTGTTATTGTGAGCGTGTCAGTATTACGGTGAGCGTATCAGTGTTACTGTGAGCGTGTCATTGTAGCGGTGAGCGTGTCAGTGTAGCGGTGAGCGTGTCAGTGTAGCGGTGAACGTGTCAGTATTACGATGAGCGTGTCAGAGTTGTGGTGAGCGTGTCAGAGTTGTGGTGAGCGTGTCAGTGTCATGGTCAGCGTGTCAGTGTTACTGTGAGCGTGTTAGTGTCGTGGTGAGCGTGTCAGTGTCAGTGCGAGTGTGAGTGTGAGCGGGGCGAGCGGCGACCGACCTCGTCCCTTGAGTATGAGATGCGGCGAGGCGAGCGGCGTGAGCGCCAGCACGTCGAGCAGGTCAGCCTGGCTGAGGCCGGCGCGGTCGGCCAGCGCCAGGCCCTCGGCCAGCGCGGCCAGCGACACGCCGCCCACCACCTGCAGCACCGCGTTCATCTTCGACGCGTTGCCGATGTCGCCTGACGTACCGTATAAATGCTTATTACCATATTCTTAATACTGAATATTGTCTTTATAACGTGAACACGATTGAATTTTTGTGTTTGGGCTCTAAGTGAGGGTAAGAGGGGTGACTAAGCAATAGTAGTAAATCACGTTAGCCTAGTGAGGGTTGCCATCACATATATCTTTGAATTTCTTCCCTGAAATATGCAGATTTTACCACTATGAAAATACATTCGCCGTAAGAATTTTAAATGTGACGTCAAACAGAAAAGAGAGACTCGAGAGTTGATTTTTCAACAGTAACATATGCTAGTTGTCTATACAATGAGTTATGTAAGTGTATAGTTGTGTAAATTGGAGCGGCGCACTACTACCAAGGTAAAAGGAGTTCTTGCTCATGGCCTTGAAGCAGGACTGGCAGTCGTCGAAGAGCGAGCGGTCGCCCGCCGCCAGCAGGATCAGCGTGCCCTCCTCCGCCTGCGTCTTCGACCCCTGGATCTGAGGACGACACACTAATGTACAAAACTACACTACATCAGTTTCCAAACATTGTCAAACACTTAGTATTTATACTCTAGATCAGGGGTGTGGAACCACTGGCCACAAGATCTATACGACTATAATAATAAAAAAACTAGGTGCAATAATTCACGTAATAATTGCAGTCAAAATTATTTGATGGCACATCTAAGCAATAAACATTTCTTTAAAAAACCTGACATTTTAATCCATATATGTTCGTCACCCCTGCATTAGATGAACCCTCATGTTTTGCTGTGGGGTGGGTGTGCTGATAAACAACGAAATGTTACGTTCATTAAGTATTTTTGATTCACATTTTTTCCTATTTCCAACTCGTGGGATAATCATACTCTATGGAGTCCTGCAGGTTTATTTGGACCACTGTGGAAAACACTTGTGTAGTGTCATACCTGCGCCTCAAGGTAGCGGCCGCCCTTGCCACTGACAGCTTCCACGATGTCATGCGAGGTGTCAGCGTCGATGGATGTCATCTCCACGTAGCCCTTGCCCTCCAGCGAGGGGCAGTGCAGCACGCCGCAGTTGCCGAACACCATCTTAAATGAAACACAATTTGACATCGATATCTTGTCTTATAAGTAAAAAAAATGTGTTTGTATTTGTCAACTATCTGAGTACTAAGTTTTAAATTGAAAACAAAACCTAGTCATATGTTAACCTCTTAACTTAACAGGCAGTTTTAAATGAACCTTTGGCAAGATAGCCTGAACAGGCAGAATAACAAAATCGAAATATTTTTCAGTTCAAAACATGGTATGTGTTCGTCCGTCCAGTAGTTTTTTTTTTATGACAAAAAATACAAATCTTTCCTCTTTATAATATTAGTATAGATTACTTTATTTTTATTCTCTTTAGCACACTCGTTTATTACTTCTTCAACCTTCATAAATGTAACGTAACCATCGTGTAACTAGCGACGGTTGTTTTACCTCTTTAGCAGCCTGAGGGTCTGCGACACATGAGAAGGTTATATCTGCCTCCTCCACCACATCGCACGGCGTCACCGCTATCGTCGCGCCCACCTTCTCAAAGTCTTTGCACTGGAAAAAACGAAAAAACATTCATATTAAAATCTTTATTACATAAAATATTATAAGTTTGAAATATGAAAAATTGTTTACATTTTGCTAGCACGCCATCTTTCGAGTAAATGTTATATCTCAGCTTTTAATGCTGGCTACTAGATGGCGTTGTGTGTTCGTAGGAAAGACGAAATCAATAGACGCGCCACGCTAACGACTCGCCGCGTCAACGACCGCCCGCTGGCGTCGGTCGCCGAGCGCCGCGCCGCCATTTTGATAACGGCTCTTTTTACATTACGTTACGCACACCAACGTCCTTGTGATCATTACGCCGAGTATAGAAACTTTATTAAAACCTAACCTCAATTTATACTAATAACGTTGATTATTTTTACCTATACACACATTGCGCGTTGAAATAATTTAGCTGTAAGCAAAGACAACTAAAATTGTGGAACAAGGTTTTAAATGGTTTAAATTCACTTTTGTTACATTTACACGATCCATCAATTAGCTTTGTAAACTAAAGCAAACACAACAATAAATTCTAAACATAAAACCATTAAACATTGTTATCCGCAAAACACGATACTTGGCGTGGCGTGATTTGGAAGTTAAGTTGTTTACTCAAATTAATTGCAAGATGACTCATCACTTGAATTTGAATAAGCGAATTGTTTGTCTAGTAAATGTTATATTAGTTACAGTTTAGTTATAAAATTTCGTGCACTAAGATACAAACTAGGATAGAACTAAGATAGTGACTAGGATCTTCATAATGCAGCCCTGAACCAAGACAAAGGCAGTAATACATAATTGTTCTGCAACACTATCGACTATCGGAGTCTGCGCCAATCTATTTATTGCATATTCTCCCGGAATTGAGCGACAGTAACCGTATACACACACACAAACAGACCATAGTAACCGTATAAAGACAGAGTTTTTCAATGTCTACTATACGCATTATTTATTACTACGAGAGATAGATAAAATAGGAAGTATAAGACGGCGTAGTGTAACACGAGTTCACCGTTAGTAATTCCCAAGGACGGAATGATCTGCTTTACCAAGTCTATATAAGAAACCGGAGTAAGACAGACTAAAACACAATTGACTTGATGAACGAGCTCATTAAAATTCTCTCACAATTTTTAAATAGTTTCCATTTCACCTAAATACATTTTAATTAACGATAAAACATTTCGTAATTCTACATTTAAACGAATCAATAAGACAATAAATTAATATAAAAATCCTCTTAAAAACACCCTAATTATCATAAAAAACAAATACAAGCTAACAATCAAAAGTTGTTTGACATGATTATGCAACGAAAGCAATTTGGCGACATCAATGTCCATTATTAAATGTACAAAAATACAGATCTAAATAACTTTATATAATAACCGGAAAACTATCAATAGCTAGAGAAATAAGTCATATAAACTACCAAGGAAAAATATATACGTTTACTGACATAAATATCATTGAAGCCAAAAACACTTCAATCAAACTGTTAAAAAATTGTTTAAACAAACCGTTAAATACTAACAACGCACTACATTTGGTTTACATATTTTAGCCATGACTAGAAAAAATGCTGCCCCAAATAAAATCTAAGAGAAATCAATTAAATTCGTAGACAAAGAGGTATTTATTGAAATTCCTGCACATTATTTTGTCATCAGGAGCGGAGAGGGTAGACCGCGCTGAACCATCGCCCAGGGCGTTCAAAAAGGGGCGTTGCAGATTCGAGTATACACCTAATAACAGTGCTAACAAAAAGCACCTTATCCCGTACAAGATAACCTGTGCGTAATTAAAACAATAACATAATAAATCGTTACTAATCCACTTTCTCGTTACTTGGTTAATCAGAGCAAAACCTTGACCGTTTCCCGGTACACGTTTGCAACGTGACACAACGTTACTGTGAAATACTGAGGGATGAAAACGTGATCGAAAAAAAAGTATTTTATTTTAAGCTGTAAATGAGAAAATATCAATAAAGAAATAATTGATATTTGTAACATTGTAGAAACATTTTATCCAACTGTTAAAAAGATCTATGATGCCAAATGGTTTTTTTAGGCTATCGAAAATTACAATTTAAACCTTTAGTAGCCAAACCTTTCAAAAATTAAAGAAATTGACAATAAATTCAGTTTCTTAATTCTATTAAAATTGGTCCTTCTCAAGCAGGATTTTTCTCGTACAAAAATATATACCAAGTTTTATTGCGAACATGTCTATTGAGACAATTGTCCTGTTTCTTTCAATTCAAATTGTTATGCTTCATAAATGAATAGGCGGTGTTTAGTGGTACACGTGCTCTTACTGTCGACAACTAACAAAGCTACAATACGAACATTGTACATCACTATACACAATATTATATAGTCGTATTTTAAACCTTATTACTACAAAGATAAAGTTCAATTCGACTTGCAAAAGTATGTAGTAGTCTATGCATATGAGAATGTAACATGTCAGCTGTTACTTGGTATATAAATGTAATAAAGATTTCGTTCGAGGAATTTGTTAAATTAAATGAAGCTGAGTGTTGTGAAGTTATCGTTGGTCATACAATTTTGTTTGTCGATTTTTGTATAGTGTACAGTATATTTCTTTATTATTTATACTAATATTATAAAGAGGAAAGATTTGAATTTTTATATGTATTGGTATAACTCAAAAGCTACTGGAACGAATTTAAAAATTCTTTTTACGTTAGAAAGGTAATTTATTTGCGAGTAACATAGGCTATAGTTTTTTATTATTTTTAAATTTCACGCTGACGAAGTCGCGGGCAACAGCTAGTCCTAGAAGATCGAAGAGACTGATTTTGTGTGTTTCTTTTTGAACCAGAGATAGCTTCACCCAATATCAATACCTACTTAATAATCTAAGTTGACTTTGCATTTATATTCATACTAGCTTTCGCCCGCGACTCCGTCCGCGTGGAGTTAAAAAAAACCAAAAGTGAATAGCCAATGTGTCTTCCAGACTATCCTCTACATCTATACCAAATTTCATCGAAATCTGTTCAACCGTTTAGGCTACAAACTCTAACAAACATCCATCCATCTAAACTTTCGCATTTATATTAGTAAGATAACCAAGCAGAAGTCTTTACAGTTTGCAATTTAATAGTAAAGTAATGGATAGTGAGTTAATTCAACACCTTTGTTTAATATTTTTAATAAGGAAAGGTAATAATTTATAAACTAGATTCCCGTCAGTATGTCAAATAACTAAACAATAGTTTTCTCTAAGAAGTATTGGAAAGTAAATTTATTAAGTTAAGTGCCAAGAAATATTAAATTATGTACATTTTATAGCAGAACTCTATGGTCCAGGTGTAGATTTCACACCAATTCATTATTTTTGTATTGTAATCAATACTAACATTATAAACAAAGAATTGTATTTTTGTATGTATTCGATTCACGTAAAAACTATTGGGGCAATTTCAAAAAATCTTTCACCATTAGAAAGGTAATTTATCTGTGAGTAACAATAACTATATTTTTTTCACGCGGACGAATTCGCGAGCAATAACCAGTTATATTATAAATAAGAGAAATTACACTACGACTCTAATATGATATTTTCCATATATATATTTATATTTCTACGGATTATTAGTTTTGCTTGCAGTATATTTCAATGACAGGTGCAAAAGTATTTGGAAGCTCGTAGCGAGGCGTCTGCAGAGCAAGGTCATACAAAACGTTTCACACGACTCAAGGTTATAACTTTATATATTTACTGCCACACTCTTATTAAATTACTTAAACAGATCCATAGTATGAGTATTCATACTAAATACTTTTTTTTTAATATAAGGTGGCAAACGAGCAAGCGGCCACCTGAATCCGCCAAAATGGCGCAGCGACCGCGGCCCATAGACATCCAATTGCAGATGCGTTGCCTACCCTTATCAGACAGAGGCGGATGAAAATGACTTATATTAGAAATGGATGGATGGACTACCGTTACTACTTCGGAAGTAATCTTGATACAGATTTAGAACAGTCTCTAAGACCACAGGCTACTTTACTTACTTACTTACTATGTTGGCGAAGCAACCCAAAGTGGGTCTTGGCCTCCGCTACAGACGTTATTTTATTCCGCGCGGACGAAACCGCGGGCTAAAGGTAGTCTACACTAAGATGGTTCCTTATCTAAGTGCGTCAGATAGAGAACCATTAGATATTTCTTCTAATAGGTTTGAAAGTAACCATTTAGCGTTAAAGAACAGACGGTCATAATAACTAGCTTTCGAGCCTGACTATGTCCGCGTGGAATTTAAAATAACAAATCAGCCTATGTGATCTTCCAGACTATCCACTACATCTATTTCACATTTCATCTTAATCCGTTCAGCCATACATCTAAACTTTCGCATTTATATTAGTAAGAAGTAAGATTAATAGCTATAAACATTAAAATAGTATTAACAAATTAAATCTTAACCAATTATAGAAATAGGACTCACATCATACCAAGTAGTACAGACTATACATACTAGGGTTGTAACAGAACTCCACTTTCGCAACCGCAAGTGCGGAACTTCCGCAAGAAATATTAACTCCGCTTCCGCTTCCGTTATATCTTATGCGGAGTTATAACGGAGGTAAATTTACGTCTTTAACGCTAATGGGGCGATTAGGTATCGTTTATATGGCCCGCGCAAAAATGCTGTCAACTAATTATAATTGTTATACATTATATTTGCATAATAAACTGTATCTTGTAATTATATACCAATCTGTATTTTGAATTAACTTAATTTTAGTTTTTATTTCTTAAATAAATCGCAAATAATATTTTATTATTGATCTCCGCTTCCGCTTTCGTCAACCTTCTGTAGAAATGAAGACCTTGGCGTCCGCATCCGCTTCCGTTAAAATGGCTTGCGTTACAACCCTAATACATACAATTCTTAGCTTTAGTTACGTCGACGAACTCGCAGCGAGAGGCCAATCTCAAATGCATAGATTCAGCGATAA